AATTTGCTCGACAAAATCTGTTGTTAGGTACAAAATTTATTATGTAACTGTCTGCAGCAGTGAGAATACGAATGGGTATTATGCAAGGAGCATTTGATAGCCGCTTCGAGTTCACATAAAAGTTACTCGTGTGGCAGACTTTTCTACTGGTACATCTTATCGAATAATTTATCACTGCGACATACAACGGAATGCATTAAATGCATTTCTCTCTCAATGCCGGTACTTCGCTTGGCTATTCGTAATGGCTATTATTAAAGATCACAGCAGTCTGTCCTTATCATGCTTATTAAGGAATGAAAAGGACAGACTGATGTCAAGTTTACAAAGCAAACACGAATAGCCAAGTGAAGTGCTGGTATTATTACAGTCGATAAAAACTAGAGAATTAAATAAAGAGTCACGTAAATTCTACCAATGTATACATTTTGAACTTATGGATGCTATATCCATATGTATTCATGGCACTTTCTATGTGAGGTTCCAATGCGCAAAAAATCAATGGTATCTAATCAATAAGAAGTTCCTAACAAATAATTCCACCTCAAAACACAAAATACCTATCACGTTTCAATTTAATAAATCTCGAAATATATATAAATGAAATCATTTTAAAAATATTTTAATAATGGACTGAAGGAGTTTTTTTTTCTGATAAAATATTGAGACGTAATCTTTTATTTTCACATTAACAAAACGTTTACTAATTAATTCAATTTAACAAAAATCTCAGCAATTTTTGAAGTTATACTTCTTTAGGCGCGTTATGAAAAATGATGAGAGTGAAATTTAAAGATGCGCGCGCATCACTGTAACACAAAATTTTAACAGCATGAAGTTGGTCGCTTTAGCGACCAACTTCATGCGTTATTTTTGTGTTTACCGCACATTAAGAAAATCTACCAACAAAATAGAAATAGAATCTCTATTTAGTGGGTGCTAAGGACTGCATTGTGAAGGCCTATCAAAAGTATTTATTAATCTGGAACAACGGAACCAAAGCGCGATTCAGGAGACTACAGCGCCATCTCTTGACCATTGGTGTAGTAGAACCAAAAACCACATCTTTATTTTTTGTAATAAAGTAACAATTACAGGTATTCATATTTATAATATTTATCCACATGTTTCTAGTTTGTATATTCGGAAAACGTGTTTGAGTTTCATACAAGTGCAAATCACATATGTTCTAATAAATTATATTCAGTAGCGGTTTTAATTGAATATTTTGATTATTTATTTATTTTTTCAAATTAAAACTGAACTTTATTGACTGTGTCCTTTTCCAGGCTTTTTATTAATTTATTGTAATTAATTATTTGCATGCAATTAAAAACTAATTTTAAACGATGCCAAAGAAGGATAACTTCTCACGCGCCTACATAAGTACACGCACCCATTTTTTTATGTCATACGGAGAACTTGGATTAAGTAGATTACTTTTTATGTACCTTATCAACAGCTCTTTTTATATCACCTGTTATTGCATATGTGTTGTATTCTGTACGCGCGTGTAATAACATCTCCAATAATATGAGCGGCTCGCACTGAGCCCATTCATTAAGCAAAAGAGGGTGGACAGTTTGCCGCAGTTCGCTACAATGAATTACTGTTAACAAGTGCAATTCGCATTAATAACGCCCATGTATGGTACCAACCCTTGTCATAAATGAGCGTTTACACTATTCGTGTGCAAAAATGATCATTCAAAATATGATATGGGTAACTACACAATAGGACATAGCAACGGCAATAGAAATATCGTACAAAGTTTAAGTAACCTACAACGAATTAGAAATGATATGGAATACATACTGCACTAAAAAGTGGTTCCATGTAAACTGAGACCAAGTCAGCGGGTCGAAAAAAGTGCGATTAGCGCGCTGATCATGGTGTTGGTTGGCATTTTCATTTAACATTATCTTATCCAATGAATGAATAGCCGAATACGTAAGCAGATATTTGATTTGTCAAATTATTCTTGTGCGTGTCGCGTTAACATTGAAGTTTAGTTGCACGAGTTTTGAACCACGTTTTAGTGGCCTTTGTTAGAGAGTACCTATATTTAAAACTGGCTGTGCCCCGTGGTGTTACCCGCGGTTTATTAGGGATATTTTCCTGCAGTAAAACTAAGCCTATGTGTTAACCCAAGGTGTCAGCTAACTCAATACCAAATTTTATTAAAATCGCTCCAGCCGTTTAGACGTAAAGAAGTAACAAAAATACACACTCACAAACTTTCGCTTTTATAATATTAGTGTGATATAGTAACGAAAGTATAGTTTTTATAAAACACTGAGCGCACTATCAAAATTCAAATAGCTTCTGCAGTTGCAGTAGTTCGGTTGTTAGTTATACTGACCGAAGTAGTGAAACTTTTTAGTTGTAGTAGTTAGTTGAAAACATAATCGAAACAGCTTCTTCTTTACTGTGGCGGGCTAGTAGTTCTATGCCGGAATTATATTAAGGTTGTTAACCTGTATTCGGGTGCACGAAAGACATTACTCGAATTCGGACACCCGAAGCAATATTTACACTGGAACACGGGCTGGAAGACGGTGTCGGGTAAACAAAAAGATATCAACCCGAATACGGGCGTACTCGACTCCGTTCATTTAGACTTATTTGTTTACCCGAATTCCATTGACACTCGTATTCGGGCTCAAAACCAAGTGTCATCGCGCCAGTAAAATTCTGTTGTGGTTAATTTAAATACATATTTTATCTTTATAAATAAAAATCAAATACCACATCGCCGTGGGTGCCGGCCTTATTCATTAACGTGCCAAGTCCGCTTTTGACCAAAATAAGTCTTTTTGTATCTAGTAGTGGAAAGTTTATAGTGTCACTGAATAATAAACACTATAATAATAAATAAAGGACAACATCACTTGACAACGACTTTACCTATAATGTATGTTTTCCTGTTTGTTTATGTGTTCATAATTTTGAGGGCAACCAGATGCCACCAGAAAATACGGTAAAATCGTATCGAAAAAATTAATATATGGTAGACGACATGGCACCATAATCTACCTACTAGGCAAAACGAGCCACACGGGCTTGGTACAATAATTTTGTGGCCAGATGAAGCTGGGGCCTACATTCGTCCACCCATCTTAAGTCTAGTATGACTAAGAATTTTCTTTAAGTACAAATTATAGTACCTATCAATAAAATGCTATTATTATAAATTTTCCGCGTTTAAAAATGGAGTTTTCGAGAATCCCACAGGAACCTAAAAATTTGCCGGATTAAATAGTATCCTATGTTTCAATCCAAGTCAAAAACTTAATACCGTACCAAATTTCATTCAAATCATCCATTCACTAGTTTTTAAGCGATTGAGAATAATTTTTTCTCCCTTTTTAAGTAAATTTCGCGTATTTAGAGGAGTGAGAGATTTACGCATAATTAAACTACATGGAGAAAGATCAAGTATTGGGGTACAGATCCCGTCACGTAAAAGGACCGCTGAGTTATAGCGGAGGGGATGTGTTTGCGCATATTTAAAGTCGCGGCCGAAAGTATTAAGCTTTGTTTTTAAAAAAAAAAATAAAGGGTGGACCCTTAACATTTAGGGGGATGAAAAATAGTTCAATTACGCACACCGTGACACGAGAATTTTATATATTAGATTACGAAACCTATTGGAATCCACATCTTAGAACTTATTTTAAAATTACGATACCTTTTGGAATCCACGTCTTAGAACATTATATTAAAATTACGATACTTATTGGAATCCCCGTCTTAGAACATTATATTAAACTAATGGCCCGCCCTCGCTTCGCTTCGGGGTAGAATTGATCAAAATCCTTTCTTAGCGGATGCCTACGTCTAACTACATCTAACTGCATGCCAAATTTCAGCCCGATCCGTCCAGTGGTTTGGGCTGTGCGTTGATAGATCACTATGTCAGTCAGTCACCTTTGAGTTTTATATATAAAGACTAGCGGCCGCCCGCGACTTCGTCTGCTTTAACTTTCGTTTTTGAGAATTCCGCAGGAACCTAACATTTTTTCGGGATGAGAAGTATCCTATGTCTCAATCCAGTTAAGGAACTATACATGTACCAAACTTCACCCAAATCTATTCAGCCGTTTTTACGTGATTGAGTAACAAACCTGCACTTCAACTTTCACATTTATAAGTAGGAAGTAGGATTCATTGAATTGCATAAGGTAACCCACTTTAACAACATAAAAAAAGAATGCCAATCTGTTTTACGTGGCTACCTTAAAAGTTAGGCACGCGTGGACAGTTATTTTCCCGGGCTGTTTACATGAAGAAATCCCCGTACATTGTACGCTCAAGTTATGGATATTGAATTCTGAGGGTTCTCATTTATTATTCTGTACACGTGCGCTCCAATAAGTTCCTTGGGGAGCGCTATGGTAAATACGAAGTACCGTGCCACCATCAATAGGACGAAATGAGCTCATTATGGTGATAGTGTGTTAATAAAGGTAACAGTTGTACCCTTAAAGTCGTAAACTTATACTATTAATCGTACTTGTGTTGTTAATACAAGGAATAATAAGGTCGTATACTTCGTGTTATTTGTTTCAAGTATTTGTACTAATTGTACATGCCTTTTGTAGTTATGTCATAAAAAGAGAAGTATTATACCTTTGCTAGATAGAAAACATGTAAAAAAATATTAAGTTCACTTGTTTTCAAGGTAACAAGATTGTTACCATGTACCTTGTTTTTTAAGTCTCCAATATTTCTGAACTGTTGCAAGCGCCATGATCACGGAGTAACTCAGTTACTAGCTATAATGTTAGTGACCATGAAAGTTTTAAACAATATAAAATACGGTTTTAACCTTTTATAACATTTTCATTATATTTATTTACGTTTCTGTGATTCTATCATATCAATCAACAAATGTGTTTCAGACAAATTTAGTTTAATAAAAATTTAGTTTAATATTATTATTATATTAGTATTTATTTGTAACACGAACATTTGCGCAAATACATTTGTGCTATCATAAATAATTAGATGTAGGGCTTAATAACACATATAGGACAAATTTTTCGTACTCCTTATTGAATACTAACACACTCACAATCATGATATATAGCAGAATCAGAGAAAGTGAAATAAGTAAGACTGACAGTATTTCGTACCTGAAACTCGTTATGTTGTGATACGATTAGGAAAGGTTTGTCGTCTGTCGAACCCGCAGACGACAAACCTATGAAGGATATAAAAGAACCTATAAAGGATATAAAGGAGAAGCTAGAAACTAGAAACGAGTTGGCGAGCAGCGGGAAGCGGGTGTCTGAGAATTCGAACTTTCTATAGTCACATGTGTACTGATTTTTAGTGCTTGTTGCGTCCATTGTGTCGCCGCTGTTTAAGTTTCCATACAAAAATTGACTGTGACATTTCTCACTAGCGAATAGTTCGATTTTGATAGTGGTTCGTGCTAAGGGTACGTAGCGATAGTCTTATTGATGGACTGTAAACAAGTGTGTGCCACTCGCTCGCGGTGACAGTCCTGAGTAAAAATACACGCTCATGCGTTTTGACTACCAAGCGAACATCTCGGAATAGAAAGAGGTTAAAAAGGTGATCATAGACCGTTTGTACGGGAACCGACTGACGCACCTCGGCCCGGGACCGGAGTGCCGCAGTCGCGTGGCCGCCTTCAAGGCTTGCTTGAGAATCGATCCATTTTCAATATGGTATATTATGCCCGAAAACACTTTTGTTACCCATATACGCTCTAATTACGTCTACTTTGACGCAAGAACAAAAAAGTATCTAGTTTTTAATATAGTTGATAATGCTTTAGTACAGTTATATTTGACGATTGGCTTAGTGACATAAGAAGTCGTAGCTCTGTCGTCGTAAGTTCGCAACTCACCAGCATCGCCCTGCTGTCAATGTCATCAAAGTGGCACAAGATCTTGGCCGCTCTCTATGATTGAATAGCTATGGTATAGCTATACCATCCGCAGCCTCGTCGATCTAACATAGCAGACCTCTGTAAATGTCTCATCTTGATATGCGGCAACGCGAGCAGCCGCCTCGCCTCATGGACGGCGGAGGCGGTGGCCGGTGTTGCGGCGGCGGGCCCGGGGCCGGAGTGCCGCAGTCTCGTGGCCGCCTCTAAGGCTTGCTTAAGAATCGATCTATTTTAAGTAAGGCATATCATGCCCGAAAACGCTTTTGTTACCCATATACCCTCTAATTACGTCTTCTTTGACGCACGAACAAAAGAAGTACATATTAAGTTTTTAATATGGTTGATAATGCTTTGGCACAGTTATATTTGACGATTGATGATGGTAAATAAACCTTTCATATTTCCTATTACCTTTTCCGACTTCTTTTTAATTATAACGTTCCTTTAGTCAGGAGATTCGAAGTACTTGGTGATCCTCATTTCTCCACTTATTACCAGCATCGCCCTCCGTTAATGTCACCAAGTGGCACAAGATCTTGGTCGCACTCTCTCGCACGCTTTATTAGACCTCTGTAAATGTGACATCTCACCTTGATATGCGTCAACGCGAGCAGCCGCCTCGCCTCATGGACGGCAGAGGCAGTGGCCGGTGTTGCGGCGGCGGGCCCGGGGCCGGAGTGCCGCAGTCTCGTGGCCGCACCTAAGGCTTGCTTTAGAATCGATCTATTTTAAGTAAGGCATATCATGCCCGAAAACGCTTTTGTTATCCATATATCATGCTCTAATTACATCTTTGACACAAGACCGAAAACCTTTAGTACAGTTATATTTGACGATTGGCTTAATGACGCAACTCACCAGCACCGCCCTGCTATCAATGACATCTAAGTGGCACAAGATCTTGGCCGCTCTCTATGTTCCTATGTTCACTGAGTTCCTATTTTTCATTGGCCGAAAACGCTTTTGTTACTCTAATTACATCTTTGACGCAAGACCGAAAACCTTTGGCACAGTTATATTTGACGATTGGCTTATTACAGCTTTGACGCAAGACCGAAAACTTTTAGTTCAGTTACATTTGACGATTGGCTAAGTTCGTAACTCACCAGCATCGCCCTGCTGTCAATGCCATCAAAGTGACACAAGATCTTGAATACCTATGGCCGCTCTCTATGATTGAATAGCTATGGTATAGCTATACCATCCGCAGCCTCGCCGGTCTGACAAAGCAGACCTCTGTAAATGTCTCACCTTGATATGCGGCAACGCGAGCAGTCGCCTCGCCTCGTGGACGGCGGAGGCAGTGGCCGGTGTTGCGGCGGCGGGCCCGGGGCCGGAGTGCCGCAGTCTCGTGGCCGCCTCTAATGCTTGCCGGCATCGCTGACGGCCCTCAGCTGCGGGGGCGCGGCCGCTGGTCACTACCACGGTGCACGCTATGCGGTCGTATACCTGGGGGCAAAAAGACGGTTGTAATTAAGGAGCTCGATGACGCAAGTGTTTAGCGCGTTTGGCTGCGATCGTTGAATTTAAGCAACTTTCGCAGTGGTCGGTCATTGGATGGGTGACCAAAAATTTACTATCTCGAGCCCCTCCGTGCTTCGGAAGGCACGCTAAGCCGTTGGTCCCGGCTGCATCTGCAGTCGTTAGCACCCATAAATGCGCACTGGGCCCGCGAGGTGAGTCATGGCCCAATCTCCCTACTCCATCCATAGGGAAGGACTGTGCCCCAGCAGTGAGGACATTAATAGGCTGATGATAATGATGATGATGAATTGAGGAGCTGGCTAACAAAACGGTATAATTACGTTTTGTCTTTTTTTTTTGTTTAAAACTTAATTTAAAAAATTGAAACTTTGACATAGGTATTTTACATTTGCAGTGCTTTAAAAGAAACAGGTTTCGTCACGATTCAAGTTTAGTAGACAACTTACTTCCAGCAAAGCTCTAAGTTGAAGATCATCAAGCACGCTGTGGAACAGATCGGGATCCATAAACATCGGCCCGTCTTGAAGGACAGCCACGTCGTCCAAGGATTCCACCACCAAGTTGACAGCTGCAACAAATATAAAAACAGTTTTAAAACGCATATAAATTAACAGAATAAAAATAAATATTTTCAACACTCACACCAATTAGCCTAGGCCCAAAGTAAGCACTATAGGCTTGTGTTATGGGATACTAGGGTAACGGATAGAATACATATAAATTTGACTGTTGTTTACTATATTTTGGTTAAAAAGTAAAATAATGTTACAGATATGCAATGTTTTCTTAACTTAAACAAAATATTGTATACCTACAGTATTCGATGAGCGCCATCTAGTGAAACTTGCGCGTACCAAGATAACTGGGAAGTGAAAAAGCATAGCAGCAAGAAGACCCCAGATGATGAGGTTATGGTTATATTTCCGTGAGGTCCACGGGGTGCATAATTTTTTACACACAATTTTTTGTCTTATTTGTAAGACTAACAGCTAAATGTTGTTTTGAAACTAACCGATTTTTCTATTTAAATTAAACTCTTTCCCATAATTTAATTAACAAAACTCATTCACAGTAGTAATTCACATACTAAAAAGGTTTACCAAGACACACATACAAAAGAAGCCCAAATATGGAATAAAATTTAATAAATTTAGAATCATAGTCAAAAATAAATGGATTATATACCATTTCAGTAATATCCGCAGAGTTACAGTATGTAATTTTAGGGCGTTTATATTGTAAAAATATAAATATGATTTATCAGGTTCTAGCGGTGCCTAATGAAAAATGGTTTTCATTTATAGTATTTAATCTTTACTTTTGTCAAAGTATCTTTTTTATGGTTTGTTTACATTTTGTCTCACGCCAATGTGAATAGACTATAGTCTTCTTCGTCTTCGATTGTGACAGCGAATAAATGCACGTTAATTATACACCATTCTTTAATTGTATACATGCATAGATGAAGAAATCCAAATATACCACGCAAAGAAAACGGCTCATGTTACGCGCAATGTGTGAGTGACTCTAATGTCAGACTATTTGAAAGCAACCAATAAAATATGAATAGGAAAGCCAATGACCTCCATCTGTCAAATGTCGCTTGAAAAGAACGGTGTGAAAAAAAATCTTGGAACCCTTTTTTAGCCCCCAGCTAATTCTACAATGAAAACCAAACATTTGTAAACAAACAATAACAAATATTGATAATTAATTTTGGTTGATAACCTAATCGTCAACCAAATGTCACTTTAAGTTGCGTTCAGAAACTCGATTTAAAACTTTCGTTTACAATAAAGGATGCATATTCATATGTAACCTAGTAAAAATGCATGACTTTTCATAACTACTCCGGAGGTAATGCAGAGATGAGCGGAATTGAAGAGCTAGATTCTGATTAATGTTTTCTCTCACACAGTCTTAAGAAATAAATAATTCGATTGTTTATTTTCCTCAATCTTAGTAAATAAATTTTATTGAAAAATATCTACCATTAGTATCTATATTGTACTGATACGATACTGATTGAGCTTCCACTGACCAAATTTCAATCTCAGATCAAGAATACTCTTATGAATAAGGGCTATTATCAAGTTGATGATTATCTAAATAATCGTAATGCATGGACATAGTATTTCTTGTAATTTGTTATTTGATGGGTTAATACCCATCATTTTTCTTAACAGTAATATTGTACCTATCTAATGACGCGTCTTATATACTAAATATAATGTTAACTATAAAATTTATTGTAAATATATATTTATATTCTGAATGATGTAATGGAAGGTGACTTCTGACACAACTTGACGACTCTTTATATAAAAATACAGGAGAAAAAACAGCCCTTGCTGAGTTTCTTGCTGGTTCTTCTCAGTACAAGGTCTCCCGCCGTAGTTTTGTGACCCGATGGCGTAGCTTCTTAACCTTCACAAGTGTTTGTAACAGCTTACACTGAATAAATGACTTTTCATTTCATTTCATTATTTTTCGGGGCGCTTCCGTGCAGTTAATACGGTATCTAGTATACATGTATATAATCAAAGACATCATTCTAGCTTCATACTATAAACATACCCGCAGCATTAGCTTCCTCCAGTAAGGCCTGGCGACGGTTAGGTTGTTCCTCGTCTTCTTCGTCGTCGGCTGCAGCGGCTGCTAAAGTAGCGGCGCGGAGTCTACGGCGACTGTTGAATTTCTTCAATTCCTCTACGGTGGCAGCTAGGTGGATACGGTTTTGCTTGTCGCGGTCCTGAATTATGATTTTAAATATGATTATATTTATATGAGCTATTTATTTATTTATTTTAAGGACAATTAGTATCAGTTACAATACAATAAGCTAATGAGAAGAATTATATTAAAGTGGAACTAAGAGCACTGTTTTTAGTTGCCACAGAATACTTAAAATTAGATATGAAAAATTTGATGGGGACAGCATACCAAACAACAATTCATCAACACAAACACAAAATAAAAAAGAGATAAAAAAAATAAAAACTACATATACTGAGACATGATTAAATGAGCAAAATGAGCTGCTCAAAGTTCTTAAAAGAATCTAAGCTGTAGAAAGTTAATAGGTTTAATTGGAAGAGAGGTAGGGCATAGCGAATTAACTGTCCGAATTGGAGCGCGGGTTGGATTGGATTGGATTAAAGAATGGTGGCCACTTACCATCAGGCCGGAAATATGATTGTTTGCCGTCGTTTTAACATTAAAAAAACCTATAAAAATGAACGGTGATTGCCTGCCACACTCAGAATAGTGAATTAAGTTTTAAGTGTGATAAATGTTAGTGCTGTCTGTTTTATCGCGATGATATTAGAATAGGAACAACTTTAATTGACATTTAATTTATTTGATATCTTTAAATACAGCTATAAAATGCCTACTTTATTAGGAGTGCACGAAAATTGAAGCTCGGAGCACCCCGTATATGGATGTATCCTTTACCTTACAGAAAAGCAGTCATATAAAATATTCCATTTGCTTTGTGCTGTCACTCATGAAAGAAAAATTGAGAAGCTCGATAACACATGGTATTGGAAGTTCGAATTGTGATTGTGGAATTTAAGCAACTTCCGCAATGTCTGCTCACAAAATGGATAACTCCATGGTACAGAAAACACTTTAACCCGGCTGTACCCGCAGTCTTCAGCATCTACCGGGCAATCCGCATTAGGCGTGCGTATTGATTTATGAACGTTTTCCTATTTCATCTACAATGTAGGCTTATTTCCCAACAGGTAAGACATTAATGGGCAAATGACGATTTTTTTTCTTCATGTTAAAAGGAAAACAGACACGACTCGCCTGATCGTAAACAGCCACCAAAGCCTATCGACGCTTGCGATTCAAAAAAATATCACTGGCACCAAGGCCTACCCTAACCTATTCCCCTACCCAGTGGAGCCCTGGAGCCTTATTAATCTGATGATGAAATTCAGGCAGCTATTTCTAAACGACTTACCCGGATCCATCTATGGTTCAAGACATCTTGAATAGTGATTCTTTGGGAGTGATCAACGGTGAGCATGCGCTGTACCAAATCCTTGGCCGCATCGCTGATGTCGTCCCACATTGGAGCGTCAAACTGAAAACAACGTGTCATTGTTTACAATAAAATACAATACAAAACACTTTATTGTACACAAAAGTAAACATTAGATTTAGTACATAACCAATTAAAACTAGTGTAACAATGGGCGGCCTTATCGCTGAGAGCGATCTCATCCAGACAACCTTACTTTGTTTACTTTTGACAGAGGAACTCAAGTAGTACAAATATAAAAAATCTTCACAAAATAAATACATGTATATTTGTAGACCCTACTCCCTATTAATCCGGTAAAAATAATACCGGTTTTTTATAAAGTTTATTGGCATTGTGATGGTTTTATACCTTTGAAAATACCGGTATTTTACGAATATAATTCAGGTATATACCAGATCATCGGATCATCCGGTTTATACCAGATAAGCGAAGAAATTTTATGTGTGGTAGCGGGACAAATAGTGTCAGTTGTATTGGGTACTAGATACACACAACAATACGGACACGACACGGCATTCGTGTCGACGCTTCTATGACTAGATTATTTGTATTTGGAAACCGGCGACCGCCGCTAAGTACATTTAAACGTTTACGAAGTGGCAACGTTGTGTATTACTCGGCCGCATCCACGTTATGTCGAATTGGCCACGTCGTGGCCCGTGGAGAAATAGCGTTATATTTACAGGTATTATACTGATATTTTCGGGGTACTGGTATTCAATAACCAAAAAACATAATACCGATATTATCGTTATAATACCGGTATTTAAAATACTGGTTCCAAGCCTTGGCACCAGGTGGCAGCTCTGATAGGAAGGGCCTACTCATTCGTCAAATACACACGCACGTACGCACGCACGCACTAATAAAAATATTTGTATTTGTACTTAAATGTTCGGTTGATTAATTCGCGCCAAAAACTTCATACAAAAAACCTCTTGTCACAGTGGCGCCTACGTTAATTTTCCTAAACACCCTCATTGAGACTCACTCAATACCCAATAAATAGTTACTTACCCTCAACCTGCCGCGGCATATAGCTTCGAACAGCCTCTCCCTAGTGCCAGTGAAGGGTAAGTATCCCACAAGCAACACGTGGAGAAGAATACCCGCGGCCCAAACGTCCACCGGCTTCCCGTACAACTGGCTGGAGACCACCTCAGGAGCCATGTAGTGAGGTGTTCCGATACGACCTGGTAGACGAGCAATTTATATTAGTATTTTTATTGTAGCAATATAAAGCCGAGAACACATTCTTGTTAGTATTATTATTATAAAAGTAAGACGGAGAATACAGAAAAGACTTTTCATGCATCATGTCTGCGACATTATATATACTTGGTCGTCTGCTAGTGTGTTATATTACGTTCTCGAAGGACAAGGCGATTTCCTTAAAATATTGCTTTAAAAACTAAATCCTGTTAAAAACGAAACAATAAGAAATAGAAGAAATCGAGCCTTTAGAGTATTTTAAGTGAAACTTTATTTTTATTCAAAGATGTTATTACTACGTAATCATGATATTAGTAAAAACATCTATTTCTAGACGCATTTATTACAAGGCCATTGACTTCAAAAGTTTATCAAACTTTATTGTACAGATAATGATCAATTTAAAATTCTATAGTAAATAAATAAATATTTACCGCACTCACATCAATTAGACTAGCCCCAAAGTAAGCACTGTAAGGCTTGTGTTATGGGGTGCTAGGGTAACGGATAGAATACTGATAGATAAATAAGTATATTTTATATACCGAAAAGTAGTCTTCTTACCTAAACCGGGCAAAGACGATTATACACAAGCCAAATCCTTTAGACCAATTAGCCTAACCTCTTTCCTTTTGAAAACATTGGAAAGACTGGTAGACAGACACCAGTTAAGGTTGGAGATAAGGTCCCGCTGCACACTCAACAACATGCCTACAGAAAAGGCAGATCAACAGAGTCGACACTGCATGCGGTGGTTCATAAAATAGAGTCGACAAATCACAAAAAAATCTCAACATTGGCAGCCTTCATAGACATAGAAGGTGCTTTTGACAAAACGATACACAACAGCATTAACCACGCCCTAAGAAAACTCAAGGTGGACCAAGTAATCAGGAGTTGGGTTACCGAACTGATCAGCAAAATGGCGGTTCAGATAGTGGGGAACACTACCACGCGTGAGAAAGTAGTTAGAGGATGTCCTCAAGGGGGAGTCCTATCACCGCTTCTCTGGAACATAGCAGTAGACAGCCTTGTAAAGTTATGCGTCCCTTCAGATTGTGGAAAAATGGTGTGACGAACATGATTTGTCAGTAAACCCGAATAAAACAGAGCTTGTTCTTTTCACCAACAAAAGGAAGCTACCCGAACTACAGTTACCAAAACTGTTTAATACCAAACTTTCCCTATCAACAAGTGAAATATCTGGGCGTAATCCTTGATAACAAATTGAACTGGGCGAGTCATATTGAATTAAAAACAAAGAAGGTCTGCATAGCTTTTAACCAGTGTAGAAGACTAGTTGGTAAAAAATGGGGCCTTAGTCCAAAGATCACTCTTTGGCTATACACAGCAGTCATCATGCCCTCAATAACCTACGGTTCAGTTGTTTGGTGGCCCGGGACCCAACTGACCACAGTGAAATCCAAACTCCAGAGTCTACAACGCTTGGCGAGCGTCGTAACTGGATGCATGAGATCAACTCCATCCGCTGCATTAGAGTACCTCTTGAACTTAAGACCCCTAGACCTGGTCATACAAGAAGAGGCGAAAGCAGCAGCCTTGAGACTAAGATCCCTGGGCTTATGGAGATTAAACACTCTTACAAATGCATGAAGGAGATCCCACTCCTGGAGGCATCTATGGATAGAATATTGGGTCAACACGTCTTTAATCGAAGATACAACATCCAACTTAACGCGGAAAAGGCAGATTACTCTGGCGCCGGGGAAGTTAGGATACACACAGATGGCTCCAAAACCAACATTGGTACTGGAACCGGTGTCTTCTCGAACGACCTCAATATAAAAATATCTACAACATTAAACAAACTAAGCACAATCTTCCAGGCGCAATGTATTGGCATTGCCAGAGCAGCACAGGGGGTTGCAGCCAGAGACATCAGAGAGTTCAACATTAAGATCATCTCTGATAGTGCATCCGTGCTTCAAGCCCTACGTAGCAACACAATAAACTCTGTTCTGGTAATGGAGTGCCACAATGCACTTCAATCCATTGCGGTAACCAACACGGTAATTCTGCAATGGATAAAAGGACACAGCAACTCAATCGGAAACGATGCAGCAGACGAACTGGCTAAGAGAGGAGCAGACAAAAAAGTGTATGGTCCGGAACCTCTTCTGCCCATACCTCAGGCTCAAATTAAAACGTGATACAACTCAGAAACTACACTTGACTGAGGGGAAAACAGGTGGAGGATGCCGGCAAACGAAAAACGGAGTTCCGGCGGCAAACAAGAGACTTGCCCGCACCCTTACCAGACTTAATAGGGACAAACTCCGTATAATTATAGGAACCCTAACTGGTCATTGTCCCCTAAACAAAAACCTATACACAATAGGAGTAACAGACAGCCCCCTATGCAGGAGATGTATGGAGGCGGAGGAAACGCCACAGCATGTCATCATGGAATGCAGGAGTGTGGCCGACCAACGGGCACGACTTCTCCAGTCGCCAGCATCGCTTCCGGAAGCTTGCAGCAGTCTGCCAAGGCTACTTTCCTTCTGGACTAACTTAGGCTGGCTGGAGTAAACGGGAATGTTTCAAGACAGGCACAATGGTCCAATGATTAGGACTAAGTGCGGAAACCGCCCTGAAAAACTAAAACTAACTTAGTATATTTTATCTACAAATATATATAAACATTCATGGCTAAGATACAAATGCTCGTATTCATCATACTAACATTTGCCTCCCGGCACCTCTCGAGTCGGTGACGCCATGAAACCCGGCGTATATACTACTCGGACACGGAGGTCGTCAGGTGGTCATAGTGGTCCCTAATAAATGATGGAAATGGAGGGAAAGGGGGACCTCCGTGGCCGAGTGGTTTACGCACCGGGTTTCATGATGTCGCCGGCTCGTGAGGTCCCGGGTTTTTTTTTTTTTTTTTTTTTTTTTTTTTTTTTTTTTTTTTTTTTTTTTTTTTTTTTTGTCCGACAAATGACTCCACTTCACCTGATGTTAAGTGAAGGTGAAGTCCGGACGTGACGATAGCTGATACAGCAGTTTTACCTGCCACACCAGCCATCCTCACCCTGCCGGCCTGCATGTTGCTTCTTCACGCCTCTTTTAAAGGATCCCAGGTTGTAAGAGGGAGGGAACACGTGAGCGGGCAGAGCATTCCATTTACGGATAGTGCGACAAAGAAATGAGTCACCAAATTTCTTTGTACGCGTTGGAATTGTGGCCACAGTTAGACGATGACAACGTAGGCCAGCGCGCGTGGTCCTCTGAAGGAAAGGAGAAGGTGGGATAAGAGAGAATAACTCCTCAGAACACTCGCCGTGGTACAGACGATAGAACGCGCTTAGTGACGCCACGTCACGGCGTAATTGAAGAGGCTCAAGGTGTTTAGTCACCTCCTCATCGCCTATGATGCGGATCGCGCGTCGCTGTAACCTATCCAAAGCATCGAGCAAGTACTTGGCGGAGCCAACCCAGAGGTGCGAGCAATATTCCACGCAGGACCGCGCTTGCGTTTTGTACAACAAGCACAGTTGATCGGGCGTGAAAAAACGCCGCACCTTGTTCAGGACTCCGAGTTTGCTTGAAGCTGTTTTGATCACGGTTTCGATGTAGTTCTTTGGATTCAGGTCTGAGCGAACTTCCATACCGAGCATGGAAATGTTGCTCTGCAGCGGTAGTGTTGTGCCCTGAAGAGATGGAAGGGGAAGGAATGACGATGTTTTTGCCGTGAAAGCGCAAGCCTGAGTTTTTTTGGCATTGAACTCAACCAAGTTCCTGGTACCCCATTCGGAAATGTGGTCCAAAGCCTGATTGAGTTCAATGACAAGATTCTCGCGTTTCTCCTTGGTTACCGCCAGCCCAGCCGCTGCTTGTCCGAGATATCTCGCATGCACTGTACTATCGTCTGCATAGCAATGAATATTCCCAAGAGGAATTAAGTCATTGATATGCAGCAGAAAGAGAGTGGGGGATAGGACGGAGCCCTGGGGAACGCCGGCATTCACTGACATGAACCGCGAACTGCTACCATCCGTAAGGACACGAATTCTACGCTCATGCAGGAAGTCAGCTACCCAAGAACAGAACTGGGCTGGCAGACCGTATGCCGGAAGCTTGGAGAGAAGGCTTTTGTGCCAGACCCTGTCAAACGCCTTGGCAATGTCAAGGCTGATAGCCAACGACTCGCCACGCTTGTCGATAGCCTCACCCCAGATATGAGTTAAGTACGCTAGAAGATCACCCGTCGATCGTTTCGGTCTAAAACCATATTGACGATCATTAATCAAGGAGTGATCCTCTAGGTAGCGGGTCAGATGGTTATTAAGGACCTTTTCTAAAACTTTACATAAAACTGAGGTGACTGCTATTGGCCGGTAGTTTGCCGGGTCTGAGCGAACCCCTTTTTTGGGCACCAGTTGCACATTGGCATCTCTCCAAGTCTCCGGCACACGCCCCAAAGAATACGAGCATTGGTACAAGCGCGTGAGCACGGGAGACAACTCCGCTGCACATTTTTTGAGTACTACTGCTGGGATGCCATCAGGTCCACTAGCTTTCCGGACGTCGAGTGATTGCAATTCGGCACGAACCTCGCGCTGCCTGATTTTAATATCAGGCATCGTTGTGCCACAGTGAGGTAATGATGGTGGCAGTGCATTGCAATCATCGATTCGGGAGTTAGCCGCAAAGAGTTTTGCCAGTAAATCGGCTTTCTCCTGCGGCTTATGGGCTAGTGTTCCGTCTGGGCATCTCAGAGGTGGCAGCGAGGGCTCGCAGAAGTTTTTTTGCACGGCCTTGGCCAGACGCCAGTAGCTACGGGAGCCCGTAGGATGCGTCATAAGTTCCTGGCCAACACGTGCAACGCGCTGGGCATCCGCTCTAATGTAAGCCTTCTTACAGGCCTTGGAAGCAAAATTGTAGGCTGCTTTGAGTAAATCGACCTCGGGATCCTTGAGAGCGCGCCCTCTGATCCAAGCACGATATGCCGCTTGCT